TCGCTCATTCTCCGCCCTGTTGGGGTCTGAGCACACGAGACTGGAATATTCTCCAAGCCACTAGGGACATCCATGTGGGGTCCCTCTCCCTTACCCTTCCCCATAGGAGAAGCCCAAACTGTGATCCCGGAAAAGTACATCAAACGACGCCAAAGGGCCCACGTTTGCTTCTCCGTTTGCATCAGAAGACATGGTATCCTCAGTAGGAATGTACAATAAAGTCAGTTTCTCTAATTTTGTATTTTATTTCTAAAACTAACACTTATGGCAAGGTTATTGGGTCATTGGAAAAGTGATGTGTTTTCTACGCAGAAGTGTCAAGGCTTTTCCGATGACCCGCTATAATCACTAAATGGAGTTCTCTGAAATGTAGAAAGGAGGAGGTGGGACCGGATGGCGCTCACGCTTTAAGCCAGTCCTCACGTTCGCGGTTCCGGTCTGGTGGCGTCCGCTCCTGCAGTGGAGGATTGGGAAGTACGGGTGCTGACCGCTCACGTCTGCATGCTCTCTTGGCCGTCACAGTGGGACTTCGCTGTCTCTCAGCAGTTTTGTATCTCTCGTGTCAACGCCTCCCCATGCACACGCACAGCTCTGGTGGAGGCGTCTCTGTTCCCAGCTGTTTGACTTCTCTGGGCCGGATGGGCACCGTCAGGTGGCGTTTTGTTCCCTCCTCAGTTAGAGCCTGAGCCATCGTCCCTTACTTATCAAAACCATTGCCTTTTACGTAACTAGATGGCAGGTGGACTTTGTAAATGTTCCGTGTCATGCTTCCTCTCTCAGCGTTATTTGCTGTTCCTCCAGTGTCTTCTAGTGTCGAGTGAAGGAAGTCTTCGGTCGTGCTGTTCTGCCTGGCACGACCGTTTCTCCATTCTACCCCAGAGCACGTACCTGCCTCTCCTGTCTTCCTGGCTGTAGGATTCAGTTCTTTATGCTGAAATGTAGACTAACTTCCCTAGCCGAAACTATCAGTGATTTTCACTGACGTGTGTGAATATAGGCTTTTAGCTTTGAAATTTAGATACTCATTTCCTGTCTCCCATTTGACTATCTGGGCTGACCCCAGTGGGGTCTGAGCATACATCCCTAGTGGTTACGGGAAGCTGGATGGGTAGCCACAGTCCGAGTCCTGGCCCTGGAACCCACAGGCACATGTGCATACGTGCTCAAGATTTCAATAGGATGAAGACGCGGAGGCAGAGCGATGGAGGCGTGACCACGCCCTGTTGGGGTGATTCCTCCCTCTCTCCGTCTGTCTCTGGCTCGTGCACATACCCTTTATGATTAAGAGAACACTTCCGGCTTTCTCTACCAGCGTTGGCTCTGGTCACCTGCCTTCACCTACTGTGTATGTGGGCCTTCATCCGACAGTGGTTTGGTGAGCGAGCTTGTGTACCGGCCACAATTCCAGGTGCTGGGCGACATGTCGCCGTGAGTGAGCGGAGTCCTACCAGGCTCATGTTTTAATTCTGGGGATTGTGGCAAGTACACATCTTGTTTCTGGTCATGAAAAGTTTCCGCAGTGATAATTACTATGGAAAAATGAAAGGAATGGTATGTGGGTTGTGGTCAGTTGCTATAAAATAAGAGTTGCTATTTGATATTGGGTTATCCCAGCCATGGTGGCTTGAAAAACCACAGCATACGTGTGTATGTGTATGTCTGTGTGCCTCAAGTCCTGACACGTAGG